AAGATGTATTTTTAAATAAAGATGTATTTTAGCATTTGAAAGTTGGAGTCACAGAGAGAGAGGGAGAGACGGAGAGAGAGATCTTCCATCTACTGGTTCATGAATTGCATTGCACAGTACATGCCCTTAATAACCTGCATTTATAAGTGAGCACAGAATGAATTCAAGTTCTAACCATTATAGGAACTAATTTCTATAGTTTCCAAAACCATATATGAGAAATAATCAAATGCTTCAAAATAAAAAGAAACACACACAAAAAAACAATGCATAAAGATAATATATTCCAAAATGAACATAATGGCAACAACAAATAATCTATTTAGTTTCTTGTGGACACAGAGGCATAATTTCTGGTATTTTATCTCTTTATTGTGGCAGATTGGACCATCTGTCTTCAAAGCTAAGAGGATATTAAAAATGATTACTAACACTCCAAATTAATAATATTTTTAAACCAAATCAGTTTAAAGATTTGATTGTTTCCTACAGTATCATATGAGAAGTATAATTTAAAGAAATATCCACAAAAGCTTTTTCTTTTGTTAGCAATATATGTATAATTCTTTTTTTCTCTTTTTAGGGGATAATCTGGCAACAGTTTTTTTTTGTCTTTCAGTTATTGCAACACATTGATTTGTTAACTAATTAGGGTACATTCAAACAAAGGAATACCATATAATCATTTTTAATATGTAAGAAATCATTTAATCAAGGATGACTGTTACTGTAAAAATAAATACTTCAACGAACTAAAACAAACATAGAGAAAACATTTCTTGCAAAACACTCAAAAACATGTTAATTAAATATAAAAAGCTCACAATGGATAAGTCACCTTATTTATTTGAAATTCAAACACATACAAACACCCATGACTGGTGTCAATTAAGCAACCAAAATGCCCCCGCTGTTACTTGAGTCACAGGGAGAAATTCCACACATAAAGAAAACACCCCAGATCTAAGAGAGCTGAATAGTGAGAAGCCAAATGACCTCACCTGCTTAAAGATACCAGAAAAAAAAAACAAAGGAAAGACCATATTCCCAGGGGATGGATTGAGAAACATTTTCAGGAGAGAAGTGACAGAATAGAGACTCTATGGGACAGCAAGGAAGAGGGCAGCCACACCCTGCATCTACACAGCTGGATCACCATCTTCCCAGATCGGGTAGGAAGAAGTTGCCGTGGCACCCAGACATCAGTGCCCCACCACTGGGGGCTTTGACTGTGGGAGAATTCCAAGGGCAGCCATCCAAGGTCAGCCATCACTTTGAGTATGGCCTGTGGAGCTGACTGGGGTCTAAACAACTACTTTGCTCCAGGAGAGGAGGCAGCATTGTTCCTCCCTCCCCTCTGTCTCTCCTTCAAAAGTTCCAGTCTCAAGTGGCTATGGCATAAAAATTGACACATAGACCAATGGAACAGAATAGGCAGCCCAGAAATTAATATACATACATAGAGTCAACTTACTTTTCACAAAAGTACCAAGAATATACATTGGAGAAAGGAAAATATCTTCAATAACTGGTGCTGGCAAAACAGGATATACATATGTAGAAGAATTAAATTAGATCCCTACCTCTCACCGTATACGAAAATAAACTCAAGATAGATCAAAGACATAAATTTAAGACCTGAGACTATGAAGCTGCTAAAAGAAAATATAGGAGAGACACTTCAAGACATTGGTGCTGGTGATGACTTCTTGGATAAAAAGCATATTCAACAGATGTAGAGAGGGCATTTGGTAAGATTCAACAATTCCTTCATGACAAAAAAAAAATCCTCCACAAATTAGAGGAATATACCTCAAAACTATAAAGGCTATATGTGACTAACCAACAGCCAATATCATACTGAAAGGGCAAAAGCAGAGACAACAAGAAGCTTCTGCACATCAAAGGAAACAATAAATAGAGTTAAAGACATTCAACAGGATGTGAAAAATATGTGCAAACTACCCATGTGACAAAAGATTAATATCCAGGATTATCAGCAACTCAAAAAACTCAACAACAAAAACTAATCCAGTTAAGAAATGGGCAAAGGACTTCAATAGATAGTTTTCAAAAGAATAAATACAAATTGCCAGAAAACATATGAAAAAATGCTCAACATGATTAGCTGTCAAGGAAATGTAAAACAAAGCTATAATGAGGTATCACATCATAACATCAGAATAGCTATTATCCAAAAGACAGAGAACAACAATTGCCAGTGAGGACATAGAGACTGGGGAACTCTTATACACTGTTGGTGGGAATGTAAATTATAGTAGCCAGTGTGGTAAACAGTATGGAGATTCTTTAAAAACTAGGAATAGGCTTGCCATATGATTCATCAATCCCACTACTGGCTAAATATCCAAAAGATGCGAATGCATTTTATTAAAGAGATGCACCATCATGTTTATTGCTCCCAATGGCCAAAATTTAGAATCAACCAAGGTGTCCATCATCAAATGAATAAAGAATATAATATATATATATATATATATATAGACAGGCAGAGTGGACAGTGAGAGAGAGAGACAGAGAGAAAGGTCTTCCTTTGCCGTTGGTTCACCCTCCAATGGCCGCCGCGGCCGGCACGCTGCGGCCAGCGCACCGCGCTGATCCGATGGCAGGAGCCAGGAGCCAGGTACTTATCCTGGTCTCCCATGGGGTGCAGGGCCCAAGCACCTGGGCCATCCTCCACTGCACTCCCTGGCCATAGCAGAGAGCTGGCCTGGAAGAGGGGCAACCGGGACAGAATCTGGTGCCCCAACCGGGACTAGAACCTGGTATGCCGGTGCCGCTAGGCGGAGGATTAGCCTAGTGAGCCGCGGTGCCGGCCCAAGAATATAATATATATATTATACACACACATATATATTATACACACACACAATGGAGTATTATTCAGCTATAAAAAGAATGAAGTTCTATCATTTGCATTAAGTGGTTGCAATTGGAGGACATCATGTTGAGTGAAACAAGTTACACACAGAAACAGAATATTCTGCATGTTCTCCCCCATGTGTGGAAGCTAAAACTTTTTAAAAAGTCAAAAAAACAAAAACAAAAACAAAATATATGTATATCAGTTTTGCTACAAATACAGTTTTGCAAAATTTTATTTTGAATCTTTGTTGGGCAAATTATTAGGAGTTATATACTACTACAGTTTTGATGATCTATGACTATCTTGAAGTTTACTGTATATTGGTGAAGTTGACATCTTTTCATTTGATTGCTGTTTATGGCCCTTCTCTGTGGTCTTTTCACTTTTTGGGTGTTGAACTCTTTATTTTGTGGAGCATTAAGCCTTTGACTGCAAAGTAAATTGAAAATATGTTATCTCAAAAAATTAAAAAGAAAAAAGAAAACAGCCAGCTAAGCCACGTGGAAAAGAGCTCACCCTGGACAATAACTAATATATAATTTCAATTGTGCTCATCTATCAAGAAACACCTCCTAGTAGTAGATCATTTAAAATGTAGCTTTTCATTTCTTGAAGGTCACATAAATCTTTATTCTCAAGGACCAAATTACTTTTTATATGTCAGGATCAACTTAAGAGATATAACTATGAATTTATAGCTTGAATCAGTAAACTAAATGATAAAATTCACCACCTCAATTTTATCTTCTACCGATAAAGCTGAAGTAACACTTTTTAAAGAATTTTATAAAGGCCAAGTGGCTAACTAGCTAGATACTAGGAATATAATGTAAAAAGTCATAAAAGCTTTTGAAATAGCTGGTTAAAAGAGTCCAAATATCACTGTCACAAGGAAAACCACTTCTTTACTATTGTGACCAAATACAGCCTTCATAAATACTAGCTGGTAACCCTCTTGGCTTTCTCTATAAGGTCTTCTGGTAGGAAAAATCAGTTCTCATATTTAGGAATTCATAATCCACAGCAGTCAAAACAACATTCAGGTAAACATATAAAGGGCAATGCTAATACTGTAATATCAAAAGAAAAATACAAAAAAAAAAAAAAAACAAAAAAAAAAGACACTGCATTAGGAATATTAAACATTACAATGTGGGTGAATATTGTGGTGCAGTGGGTTAAGCCACAACTTGGAATGACTGTATCCTGTATCATAGTGCCTGGTCCATGTCCCATCTGTATAGCTTCTGATCCAGCTCTCTGATAATGTACATCCAGGAGGCATGGGTGATTATGGCTCAAGTGCTTGAGTCCTTGCAATAATGTGAGAGATCCAAATGGAGTTCTAGGCTTTGGCCTGGCCCCTCCCAGACTGTTGTGGGCATTTAGGAAATGAACTAGTAGATGAAGATCTCTCTATATCTCTCTATTTCTTTCTCTCTCCCTCTCTCCCCCTCTCCACCTCCTCCCTCTGTGTATGTGTGTGTGTGTGTGTGTAACTTTCAAATAAAAACAAAAACACAATGACATGTCACCACACACCTGTTAGGAAGGCTATTATCCAAAAGACAAAATCTTTTTGTGAGGACATATGGCAAAGGAAACACTTGGACACTGTTGGTGGGAATCTAAATTAGTACAGTTTATGGAGAAAATAGGAAGGTTACTCAGAAACCGTAAAATAGAACTTCAATATGATCCAGCAATCCACTTCTGGGTAAATATCCAAAGGGAATGAAATCAGTGTGGTGAAGAGACACCTGCACTCCCACATTCGCTGCAGCATTCATAACAGCCAAGACATGGAATCAATCTAAATGTCCACAGTCATTATAAAACCTTCAAAAGGAAAAAAAAGTTGTCATTTGTGACCAAATGGATGAACCTGGAGAACATCATGTCATAAGTCAGGCACAAAAGGAAAAATATTGCATGATCTCACTTATATATGGAGTCTAAAAAAAGCTGATTTCATAGAAGAGAATAAAATGGTGGTTCTGAAGTGGGTGGGGAATGGGACATGCTGGTCAAATCATACAAAGTTTCAGTTACACCGGTGAGTAAGTTCTATATATATACAATATATACAGTAGGGGAACACAGTTGGAAATACCTTATGGTATCCTTGAAATTTTCTAAAAGGGTAGCTCTTCACCTAAAAGGCAATCTGTAGAAATGAAATTGACACTCTTAGAAGCAATGACTTTAATAGCCTTTAATTTGACTGTTGAGGAATAGGGTTTTTTTTTTCCATACTATTTGATGAACTCTTTACTTAACATAGAGTTAGTCATACATGTATATGGTTAATTGAAAATAGATCATAGTAAAAAATAAGAGTGGGAGTTATACAGGGAGGAGGAAGGGGGTAGGGGTGTGGGTGAGAGGGTGGGCACAGTGGGAAGAAACAGGATGTTCCTAAAGTTGTAATTAGGAAATGTATGAAGTTTGTAACTGTAAAGCTGTACAGTTCTGCATACATTACTATGGACTTACTTCTTTTTTTTGAAATATTTATTCATTTATTTGAAAGTCAGAGTTACACAGAGACAGAAGGAGAGGCAGAGAGAGAGATAGAGGTCCTCCATCCGCTGGTTCACTCCCCAAGTGGCCACAACGGTCGGAGCTGCACCGATACAAAGCCAAGAGCTAGGAGATTCCTCCAGGCCTCCCATGCAGGTGTGGGGGCCCAAGGACCTGGGCCATCTTCCACTGCTTTCCCAGGCCAGAGCAGAGCACTGGATCAGAAGTGGAGCAGCCGGGACTCGAACCAGCATCCACATGGGATGCTGGCACTGTGGGTGGTGGCTTTACCTGCTATACCACAGCACTGGCCCCTGGGCTTACTTCTAAGGGTACAGTTTAAAAACTTACCATGGGACCCCAAATCTCCTTAAGCTTGGTTGTAAAAATAGCATTTTAAGTGTTAAAGTGATCATATGGATAGGATTAAATGTTTGGTAATAATAGTATAATTAGAAAGAAATGAATGCTTCAACTTGGCAAACAGTCCATTCAGTAGATTCAGAGAATGACAATCGCTTTAAGTAGCACTCTGACCTCAGAATCAGTGCTTAAGACATTCTGGTCATGCTGAAAAGCCCATGAGAGCATTTCAGGCATGGAAAGCTAAGACACTGTGGCAAAAAATATCCTACATTAAGGACCTATGTGGGTGAGACCCCAGTGGAAAGAAGTGGTCATCAAAGAAGAATGCATTTTTCTCTGAAGGGAGGAGAGAACTTCCATATTGCTTGTGGCCTTGCCTAAATACCAATGGAGTTTCTGGATTCAAAAGGCTTCCATACTCTAGGCAGCTCATGTCAACAGCCTCAAGTGTATCACTGACATCATACAAAAGAGTGCTAATTGTTAAAATAACAACAGGAGTCACTGTGCATTAACTTCCGATGCAGGACCTCTGTCCTCAAAGAGTTGTATTATGAGAGTTAACAGTCAAACTTGTTCTCAAAGAAAAAATAATGATAGAGTAGCTCTTAAATGTTCTTTCCAAACACACACACAAAGATAAATATGCGAAGAAAAGGATAGATTAGTTTGACCATAGTAACTAATTTGTGGTATGTATGTACATCAAATTATCAAGCCGTGCACCCAAAATACAGAGGGCCCTCCATGTATGTAATTCTCCATCCATGCATTAAAGATAACCAGGAAAAAAATACCTTTCCTGAACATGTACAGACTATTTTTCCTATCAGCATCCCCTACATGGTATAACAACTATTATACAGCATTAGGTGTCACAAATAATGTAAAATTGATTTTGAGTATACAGGAAGATGCATGAATTTATATGCAAATCCAATGCCATTTAATACAATGCATTTGTGCATCTGAGGGTTTGGGTATATGAGAGGAATCCTGGAACCAACACCCCATGGATACTGAGGACAGATTGTAGAAAACTTCAATCAAAGAAAGACAAAACAAACAAAACATTATATAAATCCAGTAGCTGGCAAAAAGCTGGCATCAGGAAGTCTCAGAAGTCAGGAGGGGCAGGAGGAGGACACGAAGAGGTCAGATAGAGCAGTGCTGCACAAAGTATGGCCTTTTGATAGCTACTCTGGTATAACCCATGAACTTATCAAAATGTGAATTCATAGGCCACTTCCACCTACTGGATCAGAAACCCTGGACCAGGTGGGTCCAGAAAAAGGTTTGAATAAGCCCTCTGGTGGTAGATGATTCCTGAAGTTTGAAATTCAATGAGCTGGAGGAACTTTTGGCACAAACCCAGTCTCTACTGAGTTAAAATGTTGGGAGAGGGTGTATGGATGTATGGGTGTGTTGGGTGGGGGGCAGGTTCTGCAGACTGTATTTTTTTCATATCTTCTAAAAAAAGAATGATTCTTTTTGGGGAGTAGGAGAGGTAGAAAGAGAAGAAAGAAATGTTATTATGAGAGAAATATAGCTATAGGCAGCCATCTCCAGCACATGCTGTAGATCAGGTAATCTCTACAAGGATTCTCCCATGGTCACAACCCTAGCCATGAAGTTCACAAGAAGAAATGAATAGAAAGAATAGAAAGGAAAAGACAATATGCATGGGATTTCAAGGGCCCTGCACTGCTACAATGTCCTACTGTGTTCTCCCTAAGAATTCCTTTAAATGAGGACAATGTTGTTGTGTTATGCCTTCATTTCAGTTCCAAGTGTTGCTGGGTACTGGAGCCAAAAGCTAAAGAACGACTCAACCTGCACTTCAGAGGAGCTCACAGGCCAGGACAGCCCATTGAAGACGACCATGCCAACTGAAGTGCCATAGTCAGTCTTCTGTGTTAGAATGCTATCAATCATCTATCAATCAGTCACAAGGACTCTTTTCTCCTATTTATGAGGAAAGAAATAATGAAGACATAAAGTCTGAAAATGTCTCCTCCCAGCGGAAAGGAGTGAAGAAGGACTCATATGACCAAGAGATCCTATTTTTGCCTAAACTGCCTTGTCAATGATCTGACATCCTTCCTGTTAACCTGGAAAAGAAGCACAGAATCTCTGAACTGTAAGAAGAGCATTTCAAGGCACCCAGAGAACTGTGTGTTCTTCAGCTTAACCTGGCGGACAGGAACATGCTGAAACAGGGTTGGACACTAAAAAACAATGAAGTTGGCTCCATAGATGAAATTACATTCCCAACCCTCTTTGTTCCTTAGCAATTTAAAAATCACCAATTTCCCAGCTGGATAGAAGATAACAAGGCACCGTCAGTAAGCCTGAGTGATGAGTCCCTCAACCATTTCATGGTGCCATGTCTGTGTACTACTCCATGATCTTTCCATCAAGCAAGGTTAGAAGGTTATACAGCCCTAGTTTTTCCTAAACACAGGCCTAATTTCAAGAATTTCAAGTTCTGAAGTAACACAACATGCAACAAGCTAAAATAAGTGTCAAGTCATCATTAATTAAGTTTGCAACCTATGTTAAGTCATAACAAACTGTAATGTTGACTTATTTCTTATAAAATATCAAGCACTGTGCTTAATGTTTGACATTCCCTAAGTTAATCAGTCCTCCTAACAATCTGATAAGGATGGGTGGTGGTCTTTAGAGGGCATTAATATTCCAGTTGCCCTTCCAGGCCCGTGGGTCCATCACTGGACTGTAGTTTCCCAACCCCATGAAATTCAGCAAAGACAGGTTGCTTTGGTCAGCCAATTGCAAGTGAAGAGATGTGTCTTTTCCTGGCTAAAACCCTTTAAGTGCCAGTGTGTGATTTGATCTGACCCCTTTCCTTGCCATGGTGACTGACAACTTTCCAGATGGCACAAAGTCAGTCATCTCAGATAACACATAGGGTTGATACGGAATAACTACTGGTGAAGCCACCATAGACATGAGGAATATACCCTGGTTGTTTAAAATCACTGATACTGGGGATTGTTTGTTATTGCACACAACATTTTTGCTGACATAGTGTTATATGCGAAGAAATAAAAGAGTTTATTTACTAAAATACGCAGAAATGGTGCTATGTTCTGAATGTGTCCCCTCAAAATTTGTGTGTTGCAACTTAACCACCAATGTGATAGTTTTGAGAAGTGAGGCCCTCAAGACATGATTTGGACACTAGGGCTTCAGGCTTGCTGACAGCACCCAAATCAAAGAGGCTTCACACAGCATTCTCTTGCCCTTCTGCATTCCACCATGTAAGGAGGCACCAACTCCGAAGCAGAATCTGCCAGGACCTTGAGCCTGGACTGCTCAGCCTCGAGAACTATGAGCAATAGATTTCTGTTGTTTATGAATTACCCAGTCTCTGCTATTTTGTTATTGCAGTAAGAATGGAATAATATCACTGGGTTAACATATTTTGCTTAATTCTTCAAGAGCCAAAGCAAAATACAACAGCTTATTCAATAGTCCTTCAGTGATGCTGGTTCACATTTCACTACATTAATATGTGAAATATCATGTAGCAAATAATTGATCAGAGATTGTCCTCATCTAAAGAGATGAATTGCCCACTGAGACACAGTGTGACCAAAGAAAGGCACAAACTCAGATATTTGATTTTATCATGCCACCATATTGCTTTTATGGTTAAATGCACCATAAACTGACTAGACGTTCTGGTCCCAACTCCACCCTTTATAGCTATAACCTTAAGATTATAATTCAAGTGATGGTTCCAGGTTTTTAAAGTGGAAATATTTATTTTCCCTTTCTCATAGGTTGCCATGAGCTAGACTGAGTTGAAAGCATTTGTAAATGATACATCAATAGAATTAGAACCAGTGTATGGTAAACCTTTAGCTCTGGGACATTTCTGGTTTATAAGTGGCTTTAGAAAAAAAGCAATAATGTTGTATTCACATATTTTAGAACAAAAGCTTTTTACTTTCATTATTTGGGATGTAAATATTTTTAAAATGTAATACTTCCTTCCAGGCTCCTCCAACAAGATTAAACATAATTTAATTTTCTCTGGATGACTCAGAGTTGTTTCGCTTTGCTCCCTTTTGATTATGAATATCAACCATGACATAGTTTGTATGTTTTAATGACAGCTGTATAAAAGGCCAATGTTTTTCCTTAAGAGGCTTATGATCAAGAATAGGAAGTGAATCTACACACATAATCTCACCACCAGGAGAATGTGGCTGGTTTGCTCATACAAGAAAAGGACCAAAGAGTCCAGAA